TAGGTTTTAGTGTTGTGCATTAATGGCCCTATCTCGGTGGTTTATCCATTTAAAAATGTGTGAATTTGAATTTTTGTATGACAGTATCATCACTCAGTGCATGTTGTCTGATGTATCTGCATCGGAAAACATGCATTGAGCATTAAACTATTACACATCCTGCAGATAAGAAGTAACATTAGCATTGATTTGGAGTGGTGTTTCTAGCTAGCTGATGAATGTAAATCCAATATTCACTCTCCTTTTAGCTCTGTTTTTGGTGTTCACTAAGTCCTGAGGGAAATATGTGGCTCTGCTCATCATTCCTATGTTGCTAGCATTGAATGTCTGCTGTTTGGTGCTGGGCAGGTAGTGTACAGTGGGTTTATCAGAGCTTTTCCGAAACAGAGACTGATTAGAGTGAACCAAGACAGTAAAGCTGCTGGCTGTAAAACGAAAACAAAGCACAAACTGCTGAAAGGAGGCAAAACGCTTCATAGAGCTGACTAGAAGTGCGGAGTTGGCTGATAAATATCTGTAGGACTGTTACTACGAGCTACCCCTTTCACCTCACTCGTAGTTATTTGGTCCATTGATAATAAAAAAATATTGATTATAGCAGCTTTAAAGCTCAAATGTTACTGTTAATTAGTATTAATAAATAATTAGCAGTAATTATAAAGTAAAAACAAGCATAAAAACAAAAATAAAAAATAACACATTAAACGCCATTAAAGGAAAAGATGCATAAACCCTGTCTTAATGCCACATGACTCTGGTTTAGTCATTTGTTCTTATGTAGCCAGTGTGTCACCCACTGAGGTAATGTTTTGTCTCTCGTTGCCCTAACCTTGACAGATTATTGGCCGCGCTGAGAAAACCTGGACCGTTTTATAGGTTGAAAATATTGGCAGGGGAAGGCATCCTTGTGAGGTAAGCAGCTGTGCTGGCCATATTGCGTATCGATCCACCTTGTGCCGTGATGGCTGCACTTAATTAGATTTATATTGTAAACAAAGACTCACAGTATGAAATTTGAATTAGCAGGTAAATGTTATCCATCAAAGCAAATAATAATATTTTGTGCAGTGTGATGCATTATTGGTATTTTGGAGATTTATCTGGGCTGTAAAAGGAGGCAGAATCTTCTACCCTCAGGGTTTACTGCAGGCTGTAGAGCTGCATGCGGCCTGCGTACTGTTTCCAACGTCTCCGCAGGCGTTGCTCAGTGACAGACACATCGACCGGCAAATAAACAGAAACATACAGCAATGCAAGCACACAGGCCTGCTCTCCCATCCTTCCCTAGAAAAGAGGAATACACGTGGCTTTGAAGCTAAAAAAATGGGGGAAAAACCCACCTAAGGCACAAATCTACTCATAGTTGCCCCGATCTGACTCCATAATTGTGTCGTCATACTCTGCAGGCTTCCTTTTTGACTGTACCTGCTTATAGTCGTAGCTCCAGGAAACCCCACGTTGTCCTGTTCTAATCAAATTAAAACGTGTAAAGGCATGACTCCAAACACTGTCAAAAAAACCTCAAGGATATGGAGCAGATTATTGGAATTCAATCTGATGTAATTAAACACTCCCCCTTTTCCCTTCCTCCCCCGTCCGACAATCAGTCTCTTACGGAAGGAGAAAAAAAAGCCCCTTGGTTACTCTGAGGTCTCATTTCCGACTCCAGATATTCCTCTGTACACAGAGTCTAGAGGGTGGAGCGCAGGATGATCCCGCCAGATCGCTGTGTTAGCTAAGTCAAGCGTAATGGTTCAAACTGGGATTTAGTGAGGGAAGCTGGGGTTAAGACCTTTGCTTCTCTGTGTTTGTATAGGAATCAAAAGACTTTGTTTCCTGCATAAAGTCAGATAGGATTCAGACGGATTTTCTACTTCTTGTTTGAGGAGATTCATAAATATTCCCATTGGTGTAATGTAGGATATAACAAATACGTGCAGCAAATACTTGCATATACCTGCAAGTGCCTATTGTCATTTTATTTCCAGTGTGCAGTGTGTGTACTTACTTCTGAAGAACCACTGATGTGTACAGTATATCTGCTCCAACATCGCTTCGTGATACAGACGTTGGTCCTCAGTCTTTGGGGTGTCTGCCAGGTCAAAGAGAGGGAACAGGCAACTTCAGAGCTGCCTGACAACAGGAAGTTTTATACAGTGTGCATCTGCGTTACCCATTGTACTGAAAAGTGACTTATCATCCTGGCCCCCATATTGTCAGAGCCTTGCCCCATTATTTTTTTAATTATCAAGTTCAGTTTACAGTACTAGGAGACTCTGAATAACCAGTCATGTCAGGTTTTGAGGTATAAATGACCAAATAAATAAATACAGAAGACCAAAATGACAAAGTATGAGGAAGAGCAACACACATTTTCACCTTTTAAATATAAATTTAAAGTCCATCTTACCTCTGTTTCTTGAGCTAGATGTGACAATTAATTATTTAAAAGTTAATTTGAATATCATTTTAATGTGGATAAAACCCTTTTTTCTTGAATGTCAGTCTCTAGTACTTTAGGTCTAAATTACCATAAACAGCGGGGTGATGACATTAAGCTACTGTACCATATGAAAACAGAATACCCTAACCCAAATACATTTATTAAATAATTACTTCCGCATGAACTCACCTACCATGTTATAATGGTTTATCTTCACAAAGAAGATTCAAAAATGTTTTTGTGTTTTATAGAAAGCCATTTTTTTCCACTAATGGTTTCTCCATTGTATTAAAAGGTGATGATTTAAATTCCTTTAAAGATCCCCTCTTCACATTTTGAAAGGCATATAGAAATACTCTGTGTTAAATAATTAAACTTTACTTTCTGGGAGTATCTAAAAAAAAATGCATTATCACAGAGGTGAGAATAGGGCTGCTCCTCTTGGCTCATGAAAAGCTGACATTTTGGAGATACGTGGTTTTACATTACACCAGTATTACTTACTTAATTACTTATTTAATTTTTTTGTGGAACACGTGGACCCTGCATCGACCTTACAGTGCTAAAAGGTATCTGAGAAATGTGGCTGCTGCACAATATGTGATTTTATATGAAATATACCAATTCAATTGTATCACATTGCAACAAAATTTCTTGCTTCCTTGTTTTCTAAGCTGCATTGAAAACAAAGTTGTAATGAGCCACCCTCAACAATGGAGCCTTTGCTATAGTCGTGCAGTCATTATTATTGCGTAAGTGTCATCCACTGAAGTCAACTCAATAGCCCTTGAAAACTGTATTGGAAAACCACATGACAGCATTCATCATTGTACAAACAGTTCTGTGGGATGAATAATTGCATGCTTATATGGATTAATGCCTTGAAATGACATTTTCTTTCATTATTATGACCTGCTATTGTGTGGAACTCCTCTCAGTAATGATGGGAGCTCTTTTCATAGTTTAATCACTTTTTATAGATGTTTGAATTTGTATATTAAATGACTTTTACAGCTTTCTTTTATTTTTATAATTGACATTTCTCACCCATGTCACCAAAACAAGCAAAAAAGAGGAATCTTTCTTTAAATCGACTCTCACAAAGATTTTCATATATTTCCATTGTGCTGGGGCAATAAAGCACATTGAAGCCTTTTTGTGGCATTGGACTACACAAATAAAGCTTCCTTTACTTACTCTGAAAGGCAAATTTTGTTGATACCTTGTACAGAAGTTTTCTGTCATGTTTTTTGAACATTAATTTCCCTTGGAAATATATAATGTGTATCTTTTTGTCCAGATGTCTGTCTCTCTTCTATGTACCAGGATTGGCTCAAACCTTCGTGACCCACAACATGATGAGCCATTTAACCCTCTATTGTTCTTCTCTACTGTTTGGTAGAGCAAATTTTGATTTTGTCAAAAAATTGTTGTACTTACCTCAACCTAACTGAGACATCTCTACCACTCTCTTTAACCAGAACGAGACCTTTTTAGGTGACAGACTTCCATCACTCTGTGATCATGTGACATGATGGTGTTATAAAATGTAATTGTAAGTTTCTGGTGTAGTTTTGTTTATAGAAGATAATTATGTATATAAATACCCCTAGAAAAAGTATTTATTATATATAAGTATTTAGTTATTTTTGCAAAGCTGTATATTACCATGGAAGTGAACAGGAAGGATTCTTGTGTTTCTTCGTGTTTGAATTCAAGTCAGTAATGTTTTGTAGAAAACCCCAAAAAGAGCTAGTTGTATACAGTTCACACTGCATATTATGTGACTTTTTGTTATGCTCTTGTTCATATGAAGATGTGTATTTTATTTCACTTTAATGGAGACAAATGTATGCAGGTTGTTGAAAGTACATGTTTGCTGCAAATGGACATTTCAACAGGTATATGGAGACCTTAAAAAGGCAAAAGATTTTGCCCTTAGTAAGAAATAAGGAATGCATTTACTGGGCAGTGGGAGTATTAAAGGGTTAAAGAATGGATGATTGTATTATTCTTTTCCAATAACCTCTGGTTTCAAAGTTATGCCCTTCCTGACACCAGTAAAACCACCAGTTAGTCACTGGTGCAGCTAAGAAATAAGGAGCTTTTATTGCACTGCTCAGTACTAGCTGACTGAGGGGCCTTGATGCCTTTCCCCACATGTATACCCCACTGAGCTTCTGAAGACAGAAATGATCTTGTTATCAACCCACCTGAAGAAAAGGAAACTTTTATGTTTAGTCACTTTCTTGGTGACAGAACACATAACAGTCATTAAAAGTAAGATGAGAATGAGATCATTTGAATTTCTACTTTGATGACCTTGAACACCAAGACCATCTAAATTTGCAGGGGACGTTTCTTTTCTTGTATTTAATTTATTCTTAAAATATTTCATGATAAAAAAATGTATGTAAATGACTCTAATACTTTTGCAATGCTTCCTCGGCTTTCTCTTTCTCTCCCTCTCCTCGTTGTATTCACCGCCATCGGAGAGAGGCCAGATTTGTGCGAACAAACACAAGCACAAAAATAAATTAAGAGATCAAAACCCATAGAGAGGAAATGAGTCAGTATTCCACACCGTGTACAATACAATATCATAGCAAATTAGCAGATTTCAATGGCTTCCACTGACTACCATAGATTTACAATGTTCAGTTGGCTGCAGATCAGTCCTCAATAAATTGTCACTTTCCTTTTTTTTCCATTTATGGTTCTGATAGACAGTGACTTGTAGATGACCATGAAAAGAAAGCGGCTACTGAGGTGTGAACAGAAAACCTGGGACTACGAGCCAGCAGTAATGAGAACAACAGCATTTGTTCACATCCTACTAAACTGCCATTGTGACCACATTTTAAGTCCAATAAGCTTCTCTACAAAGGTACAACATATAAAACTGTTAAATATATAACTTTTTAGGGCCTTTCAAAATACATTTAATGACATTTCTTTACTCCTTCTTTTCAGACTCAACAGCATTTATACTCTCTGTAGATATTTATCATCTCTTTGATATGATTTGCACTTCTTATCCGTCACCAACACGTCAATCCTGCAAGCTGTCCCAACCGTAGCTACTGAAAAATGCAAATCAGATTTTTTTTTTTTTTTTGATACACAGTTATACGTATGTAGTACCTATATCTCCAGTTCCAAAATACAGTGGTGGGCTTAGTCTGAGAAAAAAATGTCTGGAAAGGTTTTAAAAGTACTCCTTTGATTGTGTACGGTAAATATGCCACCAGACGCGAGGTTCGGTTTGCATCGGCCCACTTGTGCACCTTGTCTCTGTGGGGGGTGGGGCAGTCGTTAGTCGATGCCGACACAAAACATCAAGCTCACAACGTCTCTGTGTGTCTTTGCCAGATGGTCCGCTCCGTCATAATGATCTTATTTGTTGTTTTGCTCTTTGGTCTATAAAAATATGGGAGGTTTTACTCCAGCAGAAGGCCTATTCACAGCAGAGCGCGCTCAGTTCGGTTTTTAACGGCCTCGTGAGGTGGTCCGAGAAGCAACAGGGTCTGGTCTGTAATGATCCCTTCCTTGCTCCGGAGCTCCTGCTCTAGAGGCTAGGGTGTGATGTGGGAAATCCCTTATTCAAAGCAGTTAGCAGTTTAAAACAGGAGACTTCCTGATGAGGCAAAAACCATTCATGGGATTTTTAAGGTGTCCGATCCTCCGTGGCATGAGCGGGCACTGCTAACTTCACAGAGCAGGCAGATAGAGTGGAGAGGAGGTGAACGCAACATTTTGACCCAACGACAGATAGCAGGAGGGAGCAGTCACAAACCCAGAGGAGCCGGTCACAGGAAACAGACAGTGTTTTACAGCGAGTGGTTTGTTCAATGTCCATGGGAGAGTTTGATCCCTCAAACAGTCACTCCCTGGTTGTCCCATCTCTGGCTGTGTTATGAGACCTGTGAATCAACAAGAACAGAGCAAACATGAGATGATTGTTCTAGCGCACAGTCATTGTCACTGAGTTCTCTGCTCTTGAAAGAACGTAAATCACTTCTGAAGGTGTATTTATGCAAAAAAGCATTTCAATAGTTCAACGTTTGGTATTTTCTTTGCACTACCTTTATACTGAGCACACTGTGTTTTGAAATACACCGTATGAATGAAGTGAAATGAAAATATGAACATGCCCTGTCATCTAACATGCAGCAGCACAGCACATCTTTTGTTTAACGATTCAGAATTTTGACATTTACCTAAGTCTTTGGAATTAAAGTTTGTCTTTGCAGTATAAATGCACCTGTTCGCTCTTATGAGTATTCGTTCTTCCTCTTTTGAGTATAAAGTGATCTTTCAACCTTGCTTGAAGATCGATGCCACTCTCATGTCTGTCTGTTAAATACGAATCTAGAGTCAGGGGTCAGTTAGCATAGCTTAGCATAAAGACAGGAAACAGGATGAAACAGCTGTTTCCTCTTGTTTCCAGTCTTTACGCAAAGCTAACCGTCATCTAACTCACAGCCAGACGGCAAAGAAGCCGTCCTAAAACTGAACTTTGCTCTCTTGCCAAGAGTTAGAGGCTCTGTCTAAAGCTATACAAATTGTCCGACTGTATATCTTCTTTGTTTAATCCGTACAAAACCCCAAAATGCAGCCTCTAACAGTTCCCTCCTGTTTTCAGTCTTTATGCTAAGCTAACTGGTTGCTGGCGGTAGCTTCATATTTAGACCAAATATAATAATAGTTTCAATCTTCTCATCTAGTTCTTGGAAAGACACTAAATAAGAATCCTTCCCAAAATTATAAGCCATGCTTCTAAAAGAGAGAAATGCTACATTTCAGGAAATCATTACATACATTTTGTGTTGCTATAAGCATTGTGTATACCCATTGCTCTTTAGCAAATGGAGGTGTTAATTACAGCACTCTGATCGCATCGCAAGAGGAAAAAACAAAAAGTCAACAGCTTAGTCAAATTGAGTGTTTTGCCAGTCAAATATTTAAAATTTCTTCCGCTGGTGTAACCCAATAACAAAGCCAGTCTCACAGTGCAGAGACTGAGAAACAATTAATCCACCACAGAAAGACAAATCTGGAAGCCTCCTCACCATCTGGCCCCCGCCAGTCACACAGCCAACTTGATAGAGGCGCTGATGCCTTACAAGACTGCTGCATTTGCCACTGAAGCTTAATTCATAATAATGAACTCTTGATGATTTCACAGGGTGCAAATTGCCATGAAAGGGGCAGGTGTTGGATAGAGTACTTGCATGTATCACAGATGACAATGTCTGATGCTCTGGGAATAATAAACATCTCAATGAGCTCGGGGGCTTAATGGAGGTAATGTCATGGTTTTGTTGGAGCTGGGCATGAAATGACCCAGAGGTGTAACAGCTTAAAGCAGGGGCATGACTGTGCTAACTGCTCGACTGTTACCGCTGCCCAAACAGGTGTTTAATCGCTGTGTAAGCGCAGCCCCTGTTGTCGGTGCCTCCTAGTGGGCATACTGAGATTGCATCGCCACTGAGTGCGCAAGGAGCCACAGATGAAATGTAAAGAGGACAGAATCACTGCACCGAAAACAGGAATCTCAAGAGAAATGAAACTCAAATGAATTTAAATAGATAGCAGGCATAAAGACGGCCTTGTTTATGTAAGCTATCACATGGTCTGTGTCTACCATGGTAATTTTCTTATATTCTCTCTCCCTTTTTTCTCACACCCACACTGTGGCAAATGATTCCCCATAAATCTCACACACAAATCTCATCTCAGGGAAATGCAAGCCTTCTATTAAAAAAAGGAACGAATGTCAGATGAATATGAGATGAATTTGCCCTATGAATAAAATTCACAGACCCTAGGTGATTATTACCTCGGGTTTATCAGGAAACGACCATATTACTCTATTTTATATCTTATAACAGTGAGAGAATATTTTACATTTTTGTGCCAGAGGAATGCAGAGTTGAGAGAAATGTGCTGCAGAGCCCGTCTGGCTCTTGAACACATGGACAAACTTTGAGTAAAGTGGGGTCTGGCTGTTCAAACAAAAAAAGAAAGAGAATTAGATGAATCCGAGTGAGACTGATAACTGCTGCAGGTGTCATAGTAACAGAAGGGAAAGTCATGGACAGTATCCATCTGTGTTAATGTCTAATTTGTGCAGATTTCTCTTGTTATGGAGCGAGCAGGTGACCCACTCAATACGTATTGATATGTACCCAGCAGCGCTCAATAGAGGACGAGAAAAACATTGGATTTTAGGGACGTTGCATAGAGTTTCCTGTCTCTGGGCAAAGATGAAGTGCTTTGATGTAGGAATGAGAATATACATTTGTGCTGGCTTTCGTATGCATTTCGTATGTGCATTCAAGTGAAAGCAAAGGGAGCCACATCTGCTAGAGCTAAAGAAAATTATACACAATACATATGGAGTTGCTTTCCAGCTGGGAGTTGGAGGATTTAAAGCAAATGTGCCCGAACACATGGCCCCGGCTTGACATTTTATCTCTGGGTGAACTCTCGCTGACTCCCTTCAAAATGTCACAACGCTGTGACCCACGGTGAACGTGTGAATGGGCACGCATGAAAAAAAACTGATCGACCTTGCCTCTCCAAACTCTTTATTGAGACCCTGGTAGATGTGAATAACAAAGAATCTCAGGAGTATGTAGTTGATAAATTGACGTATGATTGAATGGTTTTGTACATTCGCTGGAAGCTTTGCAAGATGGTGCTAAAACATCACCTAGTGGAATAAAGCCTTGTCTGCTTCTCCGTCATTCTAAAGTGCTCCTGCTTTTTTGCATCAGCTCGCTATACTTGTTTCTAATACTCGTTCCTGCCCTCGCTGTTTAATGTTAAGCCTTGTGCAGTTGAGTACGCTCCCTTTTGGATCAGAGCACGCAAGCCGCACAATAGCCTGCCAGATGAATATTCATAAGTGAACTTGTAGGTGAGGAATGATCCACAGGTTAATAAGGGAAAGGAAATTGCTCATTACATGCTGTGAAGTTGGATAATGCCTGAAGCAGATGCTGAGATCAAAACACATGAACATGTATGCACGGGCCTCCAGACACTAGCCCCCATTCCACATTAAGAGAGTTCAAAGCTATCTGGGGTGTTATGTCATTATCAACCCTTTCATACTGCATTTCCTCAGAACTTCAAAGCAAACACAGCTCACTATCTGCATTCTACAATATGATCAGAACTTTAATGCTCAAGAGGGAACATTAGAACACATTTAACATCCTACAAGGGTGGCTTCAGAAAGGGATAAAAAAGTGTCATTGATTTGTTTTAGATACAGACAACATATCGCTCAATACACCGAAATGTATAGATTATATCTAAATTGCATGCTGGGTGAGATCAGATGATTTCAGGCGGGTAGTGTCTTCCTTTATACATGATGTTATGGGATCAAATGTTTAAATCCAATCTTAGATAGCCTTCTGTGTTAGAAAGTAGACAATAATCTTCTATATGATGCACTGTGAGAGGATGTGACTTCATGGCATGCGTTCCACCCTGTGTCTATTTATATTTTTAAATCTACTGAAGACTTGCTGTCTGGACTGAAAAAAAAACAGCTGGATCACATTTATTTATTTTCTTCCCCAAAAGCAAATCATAACACGGGCCATAAATGCTGACAGTATTGACCGACAGAAGAGCCTGGTTTTCAGAAACTCTATGAGACTGTGCATTTTATGATTTTGGCCTCATCCCTTTTTACTGCACTGTAAGTTAAATTTACAACATGGCTACTCTCTATTTCCCAATCACATGCATTAATATCAGAGTCTGCCTGGCGCCTTGTTTTATTTGAGCACACAGACACCATCTGACACAATATTTTAAAGACAATATACAAGGCATGCCAATAAAACAGCAAAAACAAGCTGGAAATAAACCGATGGGTTTTACTGGTATTGCTGCACACATGGATTTTCTCTGGTTAAACGCACACTGGGGAACTGGTGAGCTTATGGAAAAATGACTAAGCCAAATAAAGATATCAAACAAACAGACGGTTGTATCTGGATTTACAGTGTGTGCTTGCATGTTTCCTGCTGTTTGCATGTTGCACTACACAAGGAAGATGTCTATGCGATCTACAGTAATAAAACTATAATACTGCTTGTAATCATTTTCATCAGATACTGAAATTACTGGAAGGATATAACTCCCCACCACTTACCCAGTTCATCAACTGTTACACATAAGGAAAATTGATTTTGGATCAATTGTATACGTGCAGTAAAGTGCAGTTCATGGTGAATAATATAACAATCGGAACGTGGTCACTTTCATTATTTTTGTATTATAAAATAATAAAAATAACAAAACAAGCCTCACTGTAACAAATTCGAAGATTTCTTGAGGGAAGGGGCTTTCTGCTGTACCTTGCTGCCTCCATGAGGCCCTTGGTGCTCTGTAGCTGCTTGTGTTGCTTCCTGCCTTTGCGGGACCAGGGTTTGGGTGGAGTTGTTGTGATGTTGGTGGTGGTAGGGTGGTGTTGGTTGTGTTGGTAGATGGTTTTTGGCTGTCTGTCAAGGGGTCATCAATGCTCTCCATAGTGCAAGAGTGTCGAGGGGGACTCTTGTCGCGTCATAGAGCCTGGGGGGAAAGAGGGAGGGGAGACGGGGAGGAGGTATGGTTATCAAGCTCATTAATGAGGATGCAGTCTTTTATTTTTAAGGTTTTATTTATTTTCGGATTTAAACACAGTCACACTACCATCACCACCACCACCATTATCAATTTGTCTCACTAAGGTGTCTTGAAAACGTGCCTACTTGGCTTTGTACAAACCTGATGAGCTGTTCCGTGCTTGTGTTTGTCACAAGGAAAGTGTTCTGTTAAATATAGTAGACTGTGAGTAAAACAAGGTCTGATTCAGCGCCCTGATAGAAGAAAAATGAAAAAAAAAAAAAAAAAAAAGATGTTTTTCCATTGACTTCTTTAAATAACCATTTACTTGATAAGCGATACAATAAAATAGAATGGCCAGAAAATCATTAAATCATTCTTTATTTTAAACTCATTTGCAATTTACCGACTCAACTACTATGACCGAATACCTGGAAAATGACATCGCCATTAGCCTCAGCTGTACTGTGTGTTCAGTGCTAATTAGCAAATGTTAGCATGCTAACACACTAAACTAAGATGGTCAACATTGTATGCATTATACCTGCTAAACATCAGCATTGTCAATGTGAGCATGTGCACGGGGGCAGCCTCACAATACATACATGGCATGGCTGTAGACCCTCGTTATGTCATTAAATGGCATCCCTCCAGCAACAAGTAGGACAATTTTGTCAAACCCAGTTTTGGAGATACATCCAAAACTGGGTTGACAAAATTCTTCCACTTCCTACAATATATACACAATTTAAAAACCATTAGATTATCTGAAAATATAAGATATTGTGCTGTTACTTACAGCTCCTGAAAAGTTGACATTTTGGAGATACGTGGTTTTCAGCAGCAACAACGTATTTACATGTGTGTATGTGTGTGTGCTCGTTGTCCTGGCATGTGTGCATTTGGTGCTGCCTGCTTGTTGGAATAAACCTGTAGCTCTTCCAACTGGGAGCTGCTGGCAGTGCGAGCACAAGCCAGTAATCACTCCCTGCTTTATGAAATCAGTTGGCTCTTTTGGCCACATGGAAATGGCTGAAGGTCTGTATCTGGGAGATGTTGACACTTGAGGGATGAAACACAGGTAGGGGTGCCTTCGTTGGCTAGCAGAGGCTTTGGGTTTAAGCAACACTGCTCACTTAGCAGATCAATCCCGCAAGCTCTTAGGCTGTCGATAAGAACCCAAAGAGACAGACTTTCCCAGCTTCCCAAAATGGAGGGCTTGGTATTTTCCAAGCTGAGACAATGTGCTGACTTGGCTCCCTCTAGGAGGAAGCTGGCAGACAGAGCTAATGGTTAGCAGCAACAGGGCCTCTTTCTCTTCCTCCCTTTCTCTCGGCCTGTCTGGGGTGGCCAAGCAGCTGTCTTCTTAGTGGTGATTCTGTTCAACCCACTGTTGCATGTGCCTGGAGGTCCCAGAGGGATCAATTACCAAGGCCGGTACCGACCCAGAACCACAGGGGGGGATGTGGTGATGGTGGGGCTGTGCATGATCCCATCAGGCCCAGCGTCTCCACAGAGAGAGGAAGAAACAGAAAGGATGTGATGGGAGGGGGGTGGCTGTGGGGGTATAGGAGGGAGGCCCTCAGCAGTGGCTTACAAACCCCCAATCGAAAGAGCTTTTTCATACTCTGCCGAACACATGCTGTCACTGGCAGATGTATAAATGCGTAAATACTTTGGAAGCTTACAAGGAGGCACAGGCTGGCCTGGGGATTGTCATGTGTAAACTGCAACCTTTGTAGAAAAAGGCTGTTTGTGTGAGGATTACACAGCCTTTATCCCCATGCATATACCTCCAGAGTGTATAAAATATGTATGTGGATACACATGAGCTCATATTATCAAGTATAACACTCATGTTCAAACATGTTTCCTCCAGTTGCAGAGGTACCAGAATGGATTGTTCCTCCTCTACTCTCAACTTCAACCTGCTTCCTTCCACCCAAATCCCCTTCCTAACTCCTCGTCTTTTTCTTTCCTCCTTCCTCTGTCTACTAATCTCTTCTCCTCTTCTTTTCTCTCCTCATTGAAAAAGTCTTGATTACAGTAATCACAGTCCTTCTCTCGGTATGTGCCATTTCGGCTGGTAGCACTCTGTTCACAGCCTAAATAGCCCAATCAGAACCGACCTAATGGAACGTATGATTAACACCTAGTAAGACATTTAGGGATTTCTAGTAATGTTACCTGTTTCGGGAGTGTTTTGTACATTCTGCGTCACTGTTTCCTGCAATGTCTGAAAATGATAGTGTGGTGAAAAGTACAGTACTCAACAAAACAAGTGGATTGCAAGATTGCAAGATAACAAATGCTCTTCTTCAATGAGTTGCCGTGCATAACTCATTTGAAAACAATGGCTAAACCATGTGTACTCCGCTGGGTGCTGTGTAAACAGCATGGCAGCCATCAAAAAAGTATTTTCTTGAAAGTTTACTGCTGCAGTTGGAATTTTCTGCAATTCTAAGTTGAAATGTGAGAGAAAAAAAAACGACTTTTGAAAAGAATGTCCTTTTATACGAACTTAGCGGGCACTTAAAGGCCTAACAACAAGAGCCGCTGCTTGATGCGCGGCAACTGAAAATGACTTAATGTTTTACGATGCTATACGTCTAACTGGCTCAAATCTCTTCCTGTGTCTTTCACTCACACTGCTCTTTTCTTCTCCCACACCGCTTTTCTGCCTCTGTTTTGAATTTCGTCTTATCAGGCTGTCACAAAAGCCGTCAGATAACCTGAGGTGATTTCGCTTTTCTCCTCTAATGGTGCACTCACTCTCCCTCTTTCTCGCCGAGCTCCCCGCGTCGGCACACGCAGAGAGAGAAAGCTCCTTGCGCCGTTTCATCTGCCAGTCTAAAATGGTGGAGGGCACAACGCAGAGCATCCTCCTCTCTGGAGAGAGACAGCAGTAAGCCTTTCACTGAGAGAAGGAGGTATAGGAGATGACTGCTGAGACTACATATCGCTTTGCCAAAAGAGAGCGCTTTGACTGTGGTAACTGTGTGATAAAAAGTATATTCAAATCATTTAGCATCATGGAGGGGAGGAAAGTATATTGGGAGCAGGAAATGAACCCCTGCTTGCTGCGTATAAGTGCTTCTTTATCTGGTGATTCTTTGCTAATTAGCTTTCCATGGACCATGGCGTAATGTTTGGTGAGGATGATGTGACTATTACCCCGACACTAACATGTAAATATGGTTATTGTACTGTAGGTTAGAAAACAGCACATTGCCTCAGTTTATATGTCCTCTGGTTTGCACTAAAGAATTCACACTAACTGCAAATTATGCAGCTTGGGTTCCTAACTAAAGCTGAAGTGTTTTAATCATTCAATTTATAATAAATTCTACATTGCGTCCATGTTGCTGTAAAGAGGATGTTCTCCATCCTCCTCTACCTCAGTTACATTTGCTACACCTGTCACACACTGTCCGTTCTCACATCCGCAGTTTTACGATGATATCCATGGCAGATTTGCCACTGGGAATTTGGAGTAATCTTTGAATGGGTATTAAGATTTTACACAGAAACAAAAGCATGCTCTTGATTTCTAGCCAACAGCCGCAAGGACTGTAGCAAGTAGATTTAATAAGGTGTAGCTGTGTTCTAGTGAAAGCTAATGCTAACGTTAAATGATGTGCTATAATGCTAAATGTCTCAGGCAGCCGACATCGTCACCAGCTGATGATCCATGTAGAAACCTTGTCCATGTTTTCCATTTTAAAGCTGTGTAGTTTTTTTTTTTACAGGACAGTAATAGAAATCAAAATTAAAAAAAACATTTCTAACTGAAAGCAGTTTCCCACTGTAACCTGAATAATGTACTGAATGATGCTAATGCAATCATCCTTGCATTTAGAAATAACGCTAGTAGGTTACTACTGTAACAGTAAGCTGGTTAGCCAGAGATGCTAACGTTCACTGCCTAATAACAGAAAACTTAAGTTGAATCCACTCCACACATGTTAAGTCTTATGTTTTTGGTTTTGGAAAGTTTAAAAAAAAAAAAAAAAAAAGTACCACCATCCAACTCTTGAAACACAAGCACAGTACAGAGTGACAGGGCCTGCTGGGCCACAGTTGCTAAGCTATGACTGGACATTTGCTATTCAGGGTCAATTGCCACTTGACCACATGGCTGCATCAGTTACGTTTTGACATATCTTTCTGTAAGTGAGTATTTCTCATTTTTATGGGTTGCCATAAGGAACGCATTTTGGCAGATATCTGGTTTTATGTACTCTCTTATGTACTAGAAAATAAAGTGGTTACTGATGGACACGCAGTTGAGTGTCCAAGTGCATTTTATTATTTCATTAATACACTTAAGTGAACCCAAGGAGCCCATTTACAGTCTCAGAGCTTGATATGGTTCATCTGAGGAATTCCATTTTCTGTTAGGTCAATCCTTTAGAGGAGAAACTTGTCACTGTATCAGGGAGACTCTTGATACTGAAATAAATTATGTGCTATAGCTTCACAAGTGCACCTCTATTTGATATGTGTCCTTTTCAGCTGCGGTTGTTGGGTGCTGCTAATAAAAGTAACCTCGCTCAAAACGTCGCTGTCAACAATAAGCAAAGTACATATCAATCTTCATATGTTTCTTCTGGAGCCAGCCGTAGAAAAATCCATATTGCGTTTTTATTGACAGGAACAACATGTACTCTTCAAAGCAGGGTCAGACTAAGATAAATGCATTGGAGAGGGGGGACAGAGAGAAGGGAAGGAAGGGAGGGAGAATATGTGAAAAAAGGATAGCGAGTAAAAGCAACAAAGAGAAAAAAAGGTCTGAGAAGGAGTCAAGCAGCAGGAAAACAAGTATGCGAGGAAGTTATTTTTACACAGAAGCACATCAAATGGTGGCCGCTGAGATGAGTGACATTCTGTAGGTTGAGGGAAAACGCACAGCATACATCCAATCTGCAAATCATACCGAGCCGCGTTCCCCGACTACAGGTAGAGAAGAGGTCAGCGGTGTCATCCTGAACAACAATCTTCTTCTGTTTGACAGAGAAAACTCTCAAACATTTGACCAATACACGGAAACCGCCTACTGACATTTGTCCAAAATAACCCTTTATGGGGATATGGGGCTGAGTCAGATTGACTTGGCTTAGTCAAATGCCCTGAGGGACATGTCTGTTTGTCTGCATTGATGTTTTCGCACAAACACCTGACAGACAGGTCGGACATGCTCACTGGACTGTGCACAGCCAACAGTCATCCTTAGGCAGTATTGGGATGGCTGCAGTTTGGGTTTAACCTTGAAAAGCCTTAGGGAAGGGGCCATTTGTTCAAAGTTAACCAGAGGGAGGATGAGGAGCAAATTGTTTGTTTTGTTTTTTGTCCGTGATTCTCCCTTAGGTCTGCAGATAACAAGAGGTTTATGTAATTTTTGCTCTGGAGAATTGGCCTTAACCTTTAATGCATTTTAGGTAATTTTAGGTTACACGCATGGTTGTGAAGCATTGTCCTAAAACCTTCCCGACTTTCCTCAGCTTGCCTGAGATTAGAGGTAGCGGTCACGTCGGGCCAGTTCATCCATCACATGAATGAATATTTTTAGAAGAATTTTAAACAATGACCCAAGTCGCAAGCATTGTGTATTAGAGTCCTTGACAGTGAAAGGCTGCTTAAACACACACACACACACACACACACACGGACTGGCACAGATGAGTGCACATAGCTGTCCGGCCATTTGACTAGCTGTCACCAAGCTTAAAGTAGCCAATGAAGCAAGCGAGGAATACCTGTCACGTCCCACATAGTGTCAGCATAAGCCGATGAGAGGTACATTGACTGACATCCTAAGCAGGATATGAAATGTACAAGTAGGCCAAAGTGTACAGGGCCACTGTTCCCGGGAAAGCAGGGACACATACGCATAGCTATGAATATGCAAACGGTTGAAAACACACACCAACAGACATCAGCGTGTTAACATACACATAAGAATGCACATGCATCAGATCTATTAGCCTTCACACACACTGTGACCAACACGTTTGCATGCTCAACCCCCTCAACACACACACACACACACACACACACACACACAAACACACTAACTCCTATATGTGTCAAATATAATAAATGGATCCAGCTATATGTTGCCTATGATTGTGTGTGTGTGGGCTATCTGCCAGCCCAGATAACAAATTACAATGTAGGTGGAACATGTAATGGCTGTCACCTCAGTCTCAACAAACAGGTATATTCAGTTTGGTGTCAGGCCGCTGTGAGACAGGGGCAGCAGCTGACTGATAACAAACCATATCATCTGGGTTCAGCATTCAGTGTGTGTATGTGCTATGTGTGTGTGTGTCTTGTCTTTCAGCAGGAATGCATAAACAAGTTAGTCAGCTGATGACTAAATCATGACAGATGCATTAATGATGCCCCACCGGTCCTCAGTGTTCACCCATTGACATTCACAGATAGGGCAGCTGTGTTGTGTAACATGTTTCTCAACGGAGACTTCTATAATTGTAGTACAGTACAGGCTGTGAATACAAGCATTTACATACATACAGTGTTTACATATCTTGTAAAGCGGGTGTTGGGGCGAAAGCAGTGGGAGGGTGTAAGGCGGTAGGAAGGTGTCTGCGTGTGTTAGCGTGTGTTTGTTGGGGATGAAGTGGAGATGAGGAGGCTTGGAGAGCTGGAGATAGGGTATGAAGGACGGGCGGGTGAATGAATGGGTGGCATCTTAGCGAATACAAGCGGTGGCTCCCCATCTGCTGCCATCATTAACATTAAGAGCGTCCCTAATTCAGGCTAATTGCTGGCAACGAGGAAGTAAACAAACCGCGTACAGTTTGCGGAGATGAGCCGAAGACGAGGGGGGGGAGAGGAACATTTTCAGGGGATTGTGCAGTGAATGCTTAAATGGGTTTCTGCTGTACTTGTTGCTGGCAGTGTGCAAGCTGGCCTGAAGTACAGTAATATGGCAACAGTTGGGAGACAGTAGGTGGAAAAAGGTGCAATACATTTCACATATTTCAAAATAGTGTAGTTTATTGAAGTAAGACTACATCATCTTTGCAAAACAGCACAAGTAGCAAGTATAGTACATTCTATTTCCTTGTATTGCCCGAGATTCTCCCGAGTAGGTTGTTTAAAGCTGCACTACAGCCAATAGTTTTTGTATTAATAATGGGTTATGTGAAAGGGTTCTTAGTCACAAAGCATCTTCAGACTCGGTAGTTCCCCCTTAGTTAAAGGGAGAATTTTATTTTTTCATTGTTTTTTAGTTTTAATGCCCAAAATTGGTAAAACAGGTAAAGTGTTGTATTTTCACCTAGGATTTGGTGGAGGCCGAAACAGTTATTGCTCTGTGTCTGCTCTGCGTAAGTTGATTTCTAACTGAGTCATCATTATCAAGAGGAGACCAGGTTGCATGTGACTGGAATGGGATGTCCAAAAGCGGGATTAAACATGTCTCTTAGTGAGCTACGGTGTGTTTACTACTTTTTCCAGTGAAATGTTTAATGCTGACACGCTCAATTTTGTGTAACATTCACCGCAAGTAGAAAAGAGTCAGCAGTTTGACTCAGTCATTTCAGCACAGCCATATCTACATTTTGCAAGCATTAGCTAACATTAGCTACCATAAGCTACTGTACCTGTCATACCAGACCAAATAGGGCAGTACCAGCAAAACCCCTAAGTGTATTGCACTAAGCAAGGGTGCGTTTTAGTGCTTAGAATTGTAACTATTTAGGCAGAGGCAGACGTTATTTTTTATCTTTCACAAGGTAAATACATTAAATCTCACTTTAGGTGGTTTAAACAATATTCAACTAATGTGTACAGGATTTATTTTATTTTTGCATGTTTATGTAACAGCTGTCCCAGCAGGAAGTTTGAGTATGAAAAGCTTTGAACCGAATAAGTAGAGCCACAAAATCAGTAGCCAGAAACCTTTCAAATCGGCTTTTATACTGAATATATGCTTTAGATCAGAGCTTTTTACGAGAGCTAATACTCAAAAGTGTTTCTGTCATCCTCTGCAATGATTCAGCTTGTTAAATTGACCTCTAAACTGTAATGTTTGGCGAGCAAAACAGTTTAATCATCATTGTTTCATTTACAGAAATTACATAAAATGTGATCTTAGTTTTGATTTACACCACAATCGATTTTCCATGCAAATGCTTCATTTATCAGCTCTCACAGTCATGTTGTTCTCAGTGCCACTGGTGCAGTTAAGTACACACGTTTTGCACACACCTACTGGTTTGTGAGTGGATTGTGTAACCGGGGGGCTGGGGGGGCTTAAAGAGAGCCTGAACTTACCGTGGTGGTTTTGACTCGGCCTCCGGGCTGTGTACAAGTCCAGCCAGATTTATTGACTAACAGGTCACAGCCTTCGTCCTCCAAACATGGCACCATCTCACACCACTGCTTTTTCCGAACAATTCCGGCTGCAGGAAGAGAGGGAAAGAAAGAACGATTAGAGAGGTGAGAAAGAAAATAGGAGGAATAAACAGATTAGGAGAAACGATAGAGAGACGTGGATGCAGAGATGTAACGATTAAAATAGAGAGAGTGGGTTGAGGGATGACAGATGGAGTGAGACAGATATGGGCAAAGATTTAACACGATGGAAAATGATGGAAAAGGGGGTATATGAAAAAAAAATTTGAAATACATTTAAATGGAGTGAAAAAGATGGAGAGACGTAGTTGGGTGGATTGGAAGAGAGATGGGATATATGCAGGTAGATGAAGAGCAATGAAGTAAAGACACAATTGAGAGATATGAGAGCAGGGGATGACAGTGAGAGATGAGGGAAAGATGGAGAGAATCAGACAGATGGAGAGAGATGGAGAGAGCTGTGATCAGTCAGGTAAATAAAATCAAACATCACAAATGACATTTAGCTGGTTTACAGCCCTTCTTGCATTCTGCAACATTTCAAACGGGATGAAGTATTTTTGTAAGGCCTATAAAATAAGCTTCTACCACAAGTTTTAAAATTCTGTGATATTTAATGCATTCCACAAGACTTTGTGGTACCATGTTGTAATTTGTACTTTTTTGAGTATGAATGTTCTCAACCTGCTCTGCTGTTTTTCACTTCTAGACTTCAGTTAGTGAGTTTCTACATTTCCCAGAACAGCCGCAGGCTGGAGCTTATTACACTCACTCGTACTGTAGGCTTCACTTATAGACCAAGCCATAATGATACCGATGATAAATATAGTGACAATTGGAAAATGTCAAGTGTTTTTTTCACTTTGAGGAAAGTGAGGTTGCAGCAATCTTTCAATTCAACAAATTGTTTTAGGCTTCTTATGTTGGATAACCTGTGCCCCTTTTCTTGTGCATTTTTGTCACAAAAATGTCCCTGTGTTTTTGTCCCTATGCCAACCTCCACTGTTGGTGTTGGAAGGTTGCACGCTGCCATGTGATTCCTCCTATAAATCTGAGCCGGAGCATCTTTTCACCTAACAGCAAGGAGTTTGTTGCCTGTCCCTTTGCCCAACTGAAAAAGCACTGGAACCAATCAGTAGGAGTCATAAGAGCAAGGACAATGACAAAACCTCTTACTGCCTCTTGTGAATGCTACCAGTTGTGTTTGATGGAGCACACGGCCAAGCTAAATATGTGGCTTTTATGGATTCATACTTCGGGACTGTTAAAAGTAAGCTTAGAAAGTGTCCCATGCTCAGGATAGGTTAGTCTGAGTACTGTACCTAAAATGAGTTATCAAACATTACATAAAAACATTACCCTCTTTATAACATTGTCATAGTTTGGCTTGCCATCCATAGTAATGGAAAAAAAATGTTGTGCCACCCAGCAAAAATGGTCAAGGTACAGTAGGTAGGAAACAATTTTAAAATCTTTTTTAAAATCTCAGGTTAAACATTTTACTGTATTTTATCAAAAACTTGCATTTTGTGGTTTGTCATTCATCTTCCCTGTCACTATCTTAAAGTCCTACTAAGATATCAGCAATAACTTCAGTATACTCTTGTGCAACAGCGCAAACAACAGCTAGTAAAAGAAAATCAGACACAATATATACAGTACAGGCAGAATGAATCACCAATGAACATTTAAAAAAAGATGTCAGAGGATTATACAGTTACATTAAATGTATGGCTTTTGAAATAGTGCCTCTATAATAACACATCAGCACTGGGCTACATAATAACAGCCAGATTGAAGACGCCACTCAAAATGTAAAAACAATCTCCTTGCCTCTTCCGAGACATTAAAGGTACCCTGTGGAGATTTCATTGTAAACAAACACTATTTTTGCAAGCAAATATTATTTTGCTCTGCAAAAACAGAGTTTATAAAAATCAATGGGTGACAAAAGAAAGATGTTGAAGTGAATTTAAGGGGCATTATGTACGTGGTGTAACAAGGTGCTTTTTGTTGTAATAAGAAAAGGCCTCTGAAGATAAGGTGTCTAATCACAGCCCTGTGTCTCAGGTTGGCTCACAATTTTTGCAAATCAAAAAGTGCATTACAAAAAGGATTCAAGAATAAAAAAATAAGCAAAGCACCTGAATATGTAAATCCAAAAGTCCACTGAACTGAGGTATAAGGAGGGAGGATGAAGACAAAGTGAAGGATAAGCATATCTAGATAACATTCTTGACCATTACAGAATATGGGAAAGATAAAGGAAGACGGATGCATACATTTATGCTCACATTCGCATGCATTTATGGATAGAAAATAGCATTCTTTAATGGATAAGAGTGAAACTCAGAATGAATTATATGGCATACATACATCATATTCTTATGCCATGGCATTCATGGCATGCTGGCTCTCTTATAAAACATAAGGGAATTGTGCTCTGTTCCATATCTATAAATTTGCTCTAAGGGCACCTTCAGTAGCTGTCATAACCATGCGTGTAGATCATCAGTGAGCACTGTACCCAATGCTAATATCTGTTCACCGTAAACAATATCTATATATCAATCATGCTATGAAATATGTATACCTTCTCAAGCACTACATGGCCAAATAATGAAAGTACTATGAACACTGTGTCAGCACAGTAAAGAGTGAGCTTGAAATTGACACTGTTGTAAAGCATTATTATTGTTGAGTGCATTTTGCTGACATGTTGCTTGAGGTTGAATTACTTGACGCTACTGTAGTTCGCCTCAAGGCTAGCTGCACTGAAACAATCTAAAACATGTGACTTGAACATTTCCACTTTGGGGACAAAGTCACATGTGGGGAACAATCCAATTTCAAATAGCTCAAATATTTGAAAAGTATTAAGTGTTGTCAGCGATGAAGTTAGACATAGCACTGCCAGATACTGCCAATTATTGGTTGTCCATTTGTGGATATCCAGAAATGCTAATTACTTGTCTGTACTGAGAGGCAGTCCCCATCTGGTCCTTTGGATTACACATCCATCAAGTTTGCATTCCTAAGGACTTTGGTATGCTTTAAAATCAACAAGTGCCTGAAACCCCCTACCTTCACACCTTTCTATCCTCAGGACCGCAGAGCTGCGCCGGACAATTTTTGTTATTTTCCCAAACTAACAATCTGAAAAGCATGCCCACTTCACAGAGGTTCTGGCCAAGTGGGCAAAGGTGAGAAGGAAGGCAAGTTCTCTTTTTTGATTCTACACATAAGTCCTTCCGTCAGTTTTGTGTTTACAACTGATTGCAACAACGTGAATGCTTTCAAAGAAAGATCTTCCAAAAGTGTGCTCCATTATTCCCATTTGAACGATTATTGAGTCACCCCTCTATGGTTGATGGCTTTTAACCCCACCTTCCAGTACTGCAATAGGAAACAGCTACAAAAATGTTTGACAACGGTCAGATAACACTTACAATTACTTTGTTTCAAGCTAACTCTGACCTTAACACCTTTTTTTGACCGCTTGTCCCTGCAGGTGTTCGTCAGGGATATCTACCCTGCTTTTCTCCATACACAAGAATGATGTGCATTGTAAAAGCAGTGATCTCTGCCTCATTATGTATGCTGATGATATTATCTTGGTTGCCTGTGGGGCGTAGACTAAACCTCCTACTCTCAAGACATTGTTAGCCTTTGTAGACCCCAAAGATAAGAAAGAAAGAAGACAAATGAGGATAAATAGCGTAGGTTCTACCTACAGTACAAGCCAATCAACATAGAAGGGTAAAAAACAGAGCTAGCACTGGCAAAAGTAACTGAGAATAAACCTTTTGAGTCAGTGTTGATATAATTTACAAATCTGAAATTCAAATTTCCCAATTTGACCATAGATCATTAAGTAAGCATGTTTTTCTTCAACTGTAGCACTAATCTGAAATCAAAGAAGCAATCCAGTTTTTTGGTTAAACCACCCATCAAAATTAGCACACCAGAAGCTGCCTCCAATCCACACACTTTAAGTGCAAGAAACCCTTTATGTCATGCCTTACTGTGGACTATTTGTGGACTAGTGTCTTTTTAGAACTCCCCCAAACACACATACATGCTATGGCTCCTCTAGGCCTCATCTTTTTTCCTTTTCAAAGAACGTATTTCTTTTGTTTGGTGTTTTTTTATTTTATTTTATCACATATGTATGTATCATTTGTGCTGTGTCTTTTGTGTGGGTTGTCCTGATGTATTGTGTGAAGTATGCCTTTGCCAAAAACAAATTTCCATTTTATGTAAATCTAGAGGACAAGAAAGTGTTCTGAATCTGCATCTACAACTGCCACTACCACAGCAGCAGCAAGTGTAGCGTTGTGGACAGGATGTTAAGCAGGCTTTGTAAATCGAAAACGGAAGCAAGGGAGTTGAAGAGAAAATTAGAGGACATATTGAAAACGCACATTCACTGAGGTGAAAGGAAATAACTTGTCAGATGTGAGGTCTGGCAGTGTTCTCAATATTTTCTTTACTTCCTTTTCTTATTTAATCCATTACTGTAAATGTATCTAATGAATGTTGTCAGCAAGGTCACTTACATAATTCACTAACAGGTTTTGTTTCACTTCTGAATTAGAGATGTATAGATGTATAGCGCCATTGGGTAAATAATAGTAATGAGGGAATTTATGCTGAGTAAATTCCTAAGTGTGTGTACAATTTCTCCTCTCTGCATGCGTGTCATTTTTGACTGAAAGAATGTGTGGTGAAACAATCCCATAATAAAACAAGCATCATGTAATTTTTTTAAATCCCATTTAAGCTGCTATTGAGACTTGAAGTTATGATAAATGATAAATTATAATTACACAGACATCTCATGTAAACAGATTTCCATGTGGTTTGGGAGATGATTCATGGAGATCTAAAATGCTGACATTGTAAAGTTATAACAATTATAACACTACATAAAAGGTGCCGTTCATTATGAGAAACCCGCAAATAATTATTATCCATCTCTGCTGTTTCCCTCAGCTCTAAGGATATGTGTGTGTGTATATATATACACACACATATATGTATTTCC